GATAATCTAAAAAAGTGTGGTTAAATACATTGTGCTTAAGAAAGTACAATAAAATCAAATAGTGCAACTTTCTCTCAAACAATGAATAGATAACTTACTAATTGAATTTAAATACTCACTATTTTATTTATATTTACAACAGCAATACTTCATTTAATTGGTTCTTTACGTTTATTTTTATTTCAATCACGAATCTTCAGTAGAAAGATTAACAGCTCCTTTCAACTGATCCACGTCTTGTGTGTCAACAAGGTTATCATTAACTGTTTAAGCAATTAAATCAAGCCCAATTGAACTGCCATTTTGAAAGTAGGCTCCTGGGACTGATGAGTGGGCGATTGCGAGAGACTTGGCTTTAAAATGTACCGCCCAGGTTTTTTAAATATTCACAAATTAATTCACTAAATTATGTCTACGTCAACTTGACACCAAAATATATGTTTCAAACATATCACCATCCCTGTCTTTAACAAAACATAGTAAACAATATGTTTCAAACAGAGATTTTGCTCTCAGAAACCCACAGTAAGTCAATTCATTGTTATTATTTTTTATCAGTCAACTTACAATTTAATTTTCTTACAATAAAATTGTAAAGTATTTTCCAATTAATAAAATTTAGTGCATTAAACTTTCATAGTTCTCTTGAATATGCTGTTAGAATTTGTTCCAGGCAAAAATTGCCTTAATAGCAGTGATTATGTAACTTTACAGCGTAATTAACTAACGAATGACATTCAAATGATACTAAGCATTGTATGTGATGACTTAACTCCTCAGTAATTGCTAAGAAAAATCGCACGCCGTACAACGACCCTAATTTTATCAAGCATTCAAAACTAAACCACCTGTCTGTATTATACATAGAATGAAATATATTTTCAACACACCGTCTACTTAATATGCTGTCGATTAATTTTATTAAAAATAACACTGTCTGTGGAATACCAAGCCTTTTATAATTCACTTGACGAATTTGATCACGTTTGTTTTACAAATTATATTCGCGATTCAAGTTGTCAGGTAAAGAAACTACGTTACTCTTATATTATTAATTATTGCTTTTTGTGACTTGTTTAACATAAAAATATTTCCTTTCTTTTTTATTAATGTCTTACATGTAAATTTATAATTTAATGCATGCCTTTTATTTTAACGAGTAACAAAGCTAAATGGGTAGTACTTCCAATAATTACCATTAATCCTGACTGTAGTCACGAGGTACGATGGATAAATAACGAAAAATTGAGAATGCAATTTGTCCTCCGAATTTACACGGATTTTAGAAGCGAATATTTATAATTAAGTACTCTTGATTATGAGTGATAACTTAGAAAACGTAAAAGGTAAACATATTTTTAAACGCTATTATAATGATTAATGTATTTTATATTATGAATGTTAGGTCTTGTTTTTGTAGTGTTTCTTTTTTAATTAAAGTGATAATATTGTGTTGAAGGAAATTGATACATATTTCGAGTCTACAATCTTTGCACAATAATTGATAGATGACTTTTTATTACCAAGCGTGCTTCAAATTGAATCTTTAATGAGAGAATGCTACGAAATCTGCTAGATTTATTAGGAGTGTACTGTTTTGCGTGAAACACTAACTTTATTTATATATTCTAACAGTATTTCCAGATATTCAAATTCATAGCGCATAGATAAGCGCTACGAATACAATTGAGTAGAAGGGTCTTTGCTCTTTTCAATAATATATCTTTCATCGTTTTAATGATAAATATTTTAATAAATGCAAGTCTTTTATTTAAAAAAAAAATAATCTATTAATCTCACCAAAGAAAAAATCTTAGTCCCGTTAAAAGGACTTGTTACATTAATACAGTAAAAGATGTTTATTTTTATTAGCTAATATGGAGATTGCATATAAACAAGAGGTTATTCGATACATAAATGTTAAAGGTGTAAAGTGTAAGAACGATGTATGAATTTTGTTGAGAAAGTGGACGTTTAAAACTCCTTAGCTGTTAAGAGTGATTAATGTTCCTAAGGTAAACATTCTCAGTGAGCCTATTACAAAACGAGACGCGCAAACTCCTATCAAATACTTGATCGCAACAAAAGCAGCCGAGGATAATGATGGTATTGTAACAGTAATAAATACGGCCGCTACAACGTACGACGCTTGTCGTCCTAAAATCAGCATTAAAGTCAAATTAGTGAACGAGACGGTCCGCGCTCGGAGCGCACACATAACGTTTTTATATGGTCTCATTGTGTCGGCAGGTCCATTCATTTGTAATCTAAACCCGGTAGAGATGCGATGGCCGTTTATATTAGCTCGTTAGAGTGGTGGCCCTTGTCCGGATGATATCGCCTAACCTCCCTCAATTAGTGCGGACGTTCTATCGCCGCAATAACCCTAAACAGTACATAGGCGCCCCACATTCGTGACGCAGGATTCGAACTAAACGAGTGTACTCTTAATTAGCCGTTATACAATAAATTTAAAAGCGATGATAAGGTCCCGTTGGGCACTCACTGAAACACTGCTCGCGTCCTAATGGCGCCTCGCGGATTAACTTTAAATAATTCCTATATTGGATCGTGATTATACCGAAGCATTTCAGGTGAAAGATTTCAATATATTACTTTATCATTAGCATTAATAACAAAGTTCCTTAAAGTTTCGATTGTTATTTATTGTGTTTTTTCCAAGAGCTTATTCTCGAAAATCTGTCAATAATTTATTTGCTATTTCGTTCGGTTGTAAAAAATTACGACTATAATACACACAAAAAAGAAACACCCTATAATCATAATTTTCTTCGATGCACAAATAATATAATCATTAGAAGTGAGGTCTAATTGTATGAACTGAAAAATGTAAAAAAAGCTACATTACGTTGCTCAAATGAAATCGGAACATAATTTTTAGAAGTATCTACGTTACATTATACTCCAATGTTGATATAAAATAAAGCAATAAATATATCAAAGGATATTGTTTCTAGTGTTATAAATTACCTTACACCATAAAATATTTTATGAAATGAACATGGCTCGAAAGTCTGTTTTCTTTAACAAATGGCATGTCAGCTAGACCAGAAGTCGATAAAAAGTGTGCAGTAAGCAGCCATGAAATTTATGTAGCATACAAGCTCGAGCGAGTGCGGTATTTGCACGCGTGTCCGTCGTCTCCCTAGCCTTTGTTTATGTTACTGTTCATTGTACGCAAATGGAATGAGAGTCGTTGGCCAGACCTGATAACGGAGCATTTTGCTGGTAATTAAGAACGGCGAGAGAAGGTCAGACGTCGCGTTGCCACCCGAGCTAAGGGGACATTACACTGCGCTCGGCATATTACGGCACGCGACATGTTTACCTGGTAAACATTCAATGTATCTTACTGTACAATACACGTAATGTTTAATTGTTTCTACAAACTCGAGCTTGTTCCTCAACTTTTAAGTTTTGGAACGTAGTCTGTTATAACCAGGAACTAAACATTGCACTGTCTTAAACTTAAAATGGTCAATAAAATTTATATAAACATTATGCCACATTTTTACCAAATCTGCTCTGAATTGATTGTTTATTTTATCACTTAAAAAAATTGAGCACATTAAGTGTAATTTATAATTGACTATTAACCTTAATCGGTCGTAATTTGTTACTGACGCCGTCATAAATGTGCATTTAAAATTTTCAGCCGCTAATTTTCGTTTTTGTAATAAATCGAAATTGAACTTTTGCGAAAAAGAGGACATCTGATTAACAGAGTCTCGTACCTGTTTAAGCTTGTCACGTCCCACGTACCGTTGACGGAAATCCTACCTCATTCAGATGAATTTATTATATGAGTCAAGTTTCACGTGTCGAGGGAAATGCTCTTGTGTAATTTCTGTCAGCGTAACAACCAAAGGCCGCGTGCATTAAGTCTCGGCGCCGGCTTAGTGTCCAACACGACATGTCCACTGATTAAATTAATAGACTCTTTGAATGCAAATACGCGGCACGTAATGAGACAATTCGTGAGGCGTCCGTGGCTTACCGTTGAGTGAGGAGATCACGATGCCGTGTAGCTGCCACAATAATCGTTCATCGTGGAAGTCGGGAGCCGGCAGCCGAGTGTAAATGGCTATCATTGTTGACTGCCGGTAGTTCACGTACCATTGTATTACTAAACTTCTCTTTTTAACCCCAAACTGAGACTAATCTCTCTCGTTTACTGGACAAATTTCGATGCGCTACTATTTTTTATTTATTTCCCACAATCATTGACATCCCATAGATAATTAAATGTCTTGCTTCCTGAGTTTTTGTACATTTTTTCTAATGTTAACAAGCTTCCTTCGTCATGAACAAGATATACAGATCAGGTGCCTTCATTTATTAATCCATTACCACTATGCATTTATGTATATATTTTGCAAAAGATATCTTGGACATCAATGTGCTAAAGGTAAATAAGCAGTATAGGTTATTCAGTAAGAATCAATTGGTGACGAATTCGTCGTTGTCATTTGACGAATTTTATCTCAGAGCAAACGTTTTTAACGATGCTGTTGTTTTTTAAATCAGTGATTTAAAATAATTAAAATATTTCCACGCCGTCAACTTCACTAATATGTTGTCTGAGCTAAAAATAACATATTTATGTACTTGTAAGTTAGCCGTAAATGATTCTACCCTTACAATATATTTTTTTATACAGGAATTGATTTGGCATCGCGAAAAACGTATACTAATAATATTTGGTGTTCCAAATCTTATAGCACTGATATTATAAATTCGAAAGTTAAGTTTTATGAATGTTTATTATTACGAATCTCCAGAATAACTAAACGGATCTCACAGAAATTTAGCATAGATATAGCTGGAACATAGTCTGAAAGGAAAGAATATACTAAAAATCTTCTTATGTTAGGGAATGTAGAATATGCAAACTAAAAATCTTTGGCTTTTTCGAAACTACGCAATAACTAAGAAAAAATCTAAAGAATACTTAATTCAAATTAATATTATTGTTTCAGCACACGCTCACTGGTCACAGTGGTAAAGTGATGGCAGCAAAATTTCTAGAAGAACCCACCAAAGTAATAACCGGCAGCCATGATAGAACACTCAAAATTTGGGATCTCAGGAGTAGAATGTGTAAGTTCAACATTGTCATGTCATGTATCTAGCATGTCTTATTCATTGAGTAACAACATAGAGCCTGTTATGATTGAATCACAGCTCGAATCAATTGCGAAGTCTAAACTATTTATTACTCATTCATGGTAAGTAATTTTTAGCTATAAAAAGTACTAGTCGTAGACCGCTCTTGGTAAATGTAGCGATTTAAAAAAAACACATATAGAGAAAGATAACCAATTAACTGTATGCATCTTTTACCATAAGAAATTAAAATTACTACTAAAACTGTATTTATAAAAGAAAATTATGTCAGAGATATGATCGCACATATGAGGTTGCTTCCTTATCTTTTTATAGAACGCTCTAAGCTTGTGATAAAATTAAAAAAGGTCGTTCAAACATAATTATATTTCTAATATCGGAACACACATCACGCCTTTAACTTGAAGATGCTATTAATGTTTTATGTAGTTAATAATTTGCTCCTCGAAGTTATGAAGATGTAACCTTGGTAATCTACTTTTTCTATGCCAATATCATCAATCCAAACACTCGATTGAATATGTAACATTCATATCAATTTCTTTAATCAATCTACATATATGTTCTATATATTTCATGGATACAAACTTCGATTTATTTTTACGAAACCGGACTGTAATTATAATCAATGCCTCATGGCGTAATTCTTAATCCAATATGACCAAATAGACCTAAAAGATGCGCAATAATACAGAATTAAGGAAATAATTACAAGAATCATTTAAAAGGCGGGCATTTTGTAATTATTTCCATATTTTTTATAACTTTAACAGCAGAAATTCTTTAGGTACAGAAACAAAATTTGCGGGGTCGTCGTGCAACGATCTGGTGACGTCAGACGGTGCGGGCTCCACTATCATATCAGGACACTTCGATAAACGGATACGATTTTGGGACATACGCACAGAGATGTCAGCCAATCATATCGTATTACAAGGGAAAGTCACATCATTAGATCTCAGTAGAGGTAAGAATTAAAAATTAAATGCTTATTAAGTTATTCATTATCCTTGTGCCCATACAGAATTTTTGTAATCCTAATTACGCATTTCTCGGAAATCTATTCTATATCAACATTTATATTTCTTGCAGCATAACCCAATAGCTCTATTCGTACATATAAAGCTGTAGTATTGCTCTACGAAATACCAAACTATGAAAGTACGTAACTGTTATAACAACAAAACAGTCTATTATTTATTTGTAATAGTTTTCATTACCACACCCATCTTGTTTGCGAAACAAGCGTATTGAATTCTTGAAAGAGGCTTCGAGCTTGTTAATTTCCGTTGTTCTCAAAACTAATATTCAAAGAAAATTGAATGCACAGCATATCTATTAGTATCGGTATTCGTGCCAGCACAACAAGGTGACGGGTGTACGATGCCCATTTCCGTTACGCGTGTCTCGATCAATCCCTTTTTTGTCAGTAACGGTCCGGTCGGCGCACGAAACGACCAGATTGATACCTTCAATCGATCGCATCGTTGGGACTCGCTACCTCGGCGAACTGATTGAATCACGTCAATTTGTCGCCACCGAGCGCTGGGCTCGCCGACGAATGAATAGGGAGCCCGTTCACAGTTACACGTCACGCTCGATCCGAACCCATCAATACTATCCATTACGAGGATTCTTTAGTAATCGGACGGATCGCGATCGCCGCCACGCAGCGTGAAATCCTATCTCATCGCTTGTTGCTCGCTCGCCGACATATTTAAATCTCAACAGATAATGGTGGGAACATATCTTCGGGTTATTGTCTAACCCCGCCTCGGATACAGTTCGAATGGGCGACCTCTAACGAGACCATGATGCCTCCGTGTTCTCAATACCCACATAATTTAATAAAATACCATTATATTGTACGATCATGGTAATGGCAAAAGCATTTTACCTTATATCGTCAAAGGTTAAATCTTTCTACGAGCATTGGGAACTAGGTAATGTAATAATAACTCGGGGGCCGGGTCAGTAACGTACCGCCGAGACAAATCACCAGATTCGGTTCCGTATAATTTTGCAATCTTTTATTCATCTTAATCGTTAATAATTTTAAGTGACCATTATTCAGCACATAAATTAATGTTATGACGGTCTGGTTTTAAATAAGCGATGAGTCCTATATGCAAAATTATTTTTTGACAAAAATAACGGATATCTTTATTAGAGAGATTAATCTAGTGAATTATGAAAATGGCGATGTTATATGATGGATATATATCTTTTCGTAGTTAATTTATAAATCTTCTTGATTTCTTCTCGTTGAAATTTTCGCACATTAGCCTGAAGTATATCTGGAATTGAATGGTGCAGCTAAATTTACTGTATATTTGAAAATCCTAGGCTTAAAACGGCAATGAGTTTGGCACCTGCCATTACTAAATTGGACTTAAACCCTCTCAGGAAAAGTTGTTTTGGACAACCCACATTGTGTCTACTAACATAATGAATACTTCGTTAGTACCTAAATATCATCCAAGACTTATTTTACGCTTACTATAGCTTCGCCTAAACGTAAATATTATGAGAATAGAATGTTTCCACGAATCAAACAAAGAAACACACCCGATCTATAAATCCCAATTATAAGAAAAAGTGACAAATAATCTTCTATATAAAATTCTCGTGTCACAATTTTCGTTCCCATACTCCTCCGAAACGGCTTGACCGGTTCTCATGAAATTTTGTAAGCATATTGAGTAGGTCTGAGAATCGGCCAACATCTATTTTTAATCACGCGCGGACGGAGTCGCGGGTGACAGCTTGTATGTATATAAATATTATAAATAATGCATAAGGAAAATAAGAAGAAAATGTCCAAAAACTATATGTGTTTGTATTGATAAATCTATATAACATATTTATTCTATGGAATCCTCGGATGAAATAGTCTTCTCCACTAATCCCACTATAAACTTAACATTCATTAACGACTACAACATAACTCACACCTGAAAGCCAGATGGGTAAGCAGAGACCACGGGCCTCTATTTGGCGCGGTCTTGCCATATCTCTCTCCTTCTTCTTTCGTACTATTATCCTGTGTTATTATTTATATTTTACGTACTTATTTACTATGTTTCGTATGGTCCGTAGCTCAGTATCTGTAATGTTCCCTTGTTTCAGATAGTAATTATTTACTAGCGTGCGTGAGAGACGATACGATACAGCTAATAGATCTCCGGATGAACACCATAGTGCGGTCGTTCAGGTATTGTTCGATTTATTATTTAATTAACTCAATAAATCTAATTCATTTATTAATTGGGACACGTCGATGGGTAACCTTAATTAAATCAATCAAAAATAATTTGATGAAATTTGATTTATTCAGTAGATGACGGACCGTTAACACTTAATTGATTATCAGTTTACTGTTGTTTATGATTTGTTCGAATGATCACGTAACCTTTAAACCGTTGCCTAAAATAAAAATTAAGTAACAACAATATTTTAACTGTTCAGACACCATATTTTATTTACGTATGATTTATGCTTGTCTAATGTAGTATGGATGTTTTATATAGAAAGAAATTGGACTCTTTGGAGGCTCTGGGCTCGAATATCAATAATAAATGTTAAGTATTAAATATGAAACATTGTCGATGTGTGAAAACCTGATGTGTTCCAGCCACGAGTCATTCAAAGTGGGCTGTGACTGGTCGCGAGCGGCGTTCGGTCCGGGCGGCCGGCTGTTGGCCGTTGGCGCCGCGGATGGATCCGTCTACGTTTGGAACACGCACACTGGAAAATTGGAGACTATATTAAAAGAGCACTCGTAAGTACGCTACACTATGTCCCTTATTTAGATTTTGCAGATTAAAGTGAGCAACGAAGAAGCGAAATCGGTGTTGATTGATATATTTAAGTTTTTATTTGATAAAAGATGACAAACCTCCAGGTCGAAACTGAAAGAAAATCTTTAACAATATTAAGAATTGAATCAATTGAAATTCTTCTTTGGTACTAAAATTCGTGCTTGCGTCTAAGCTGTAACTGTATATTGTTAGACCACGGTTTCAGTGCAGGTTTTAAAAATTAACAAGTAACGTTAATAAGTAACTATTCTGAAAACAGTATGTCGTGGTAGCAATTTGTTTTTGTACATTCTCCATTAATTTAAATAAAGAATAGAGTTTTACAAAGCGTGTAAAAATTCGCAAAGTAAAAATTAATTTACTCGAAACGACGCAAAAAATCAATACAGATATAAATTCTCTTAATGTCTTCATATTTGAATGGACTACTTTTTATCTCGATATCAATTTATTCAGTTCGTAGACACGGTTTTTTTTGTAAAGATATTTAACTTCTCAATAATAATCGTTTAAAAAGCCATTTATCAATTACTGCGTACATTGTCAAACAGTAATCTTAAACGACTATACAGCAAATAAATACAGACGATACTTTTTTATGCCCCCGTGATTAAATAACTCTGATAACGTATCTGGTGTCAGTAGTGGCGGCGTTAGGATAGGGCGAGGTGGGGCGACCGCCCAGGGCGTCAGAGTCAGATAAAAAGGGACGTCCCCTAAGATACTCTATCTTTAGAAAATTTCTCCCTACACCGAAAAGAGAGGGCGGTGTCAAAATCTGGCCCAGGGCGCCGGATATCCTAAAACCGACCCTGCATGTCTACTTCTATTAATTGGTATTCCTTATTCAAATCGAGTACTGTTGTGTAACGGTCGAACACAGACTCCAGAGGAAATCACGACAACACCCGGCGAACAATATCGTTCTAATTCGCAGTATTCATGTTGCAGTTTAAGTCTGACCCTGGCGACATCTAATAAAGTTTCAGTCACATTTCCGACCTTGAATTTAGAACTAAAATTGCCTGACTCGTGACATCGTTTAGTTTCCTCGTAACATTTCGCATGGACAATTGAAATCGTGAGGTCAACATTGGCTCGGGCCGTCTCATTGCAAATTTCTCTTTCCCACATGTATCGACTACTGCATATTTATTTGGAAGTCGTTTTCGCGACAGTTTCTATTAATGTCATTTTGTAGTAGGAAATCGGCTTTGTTTTAACGCCGGAAGTTGAAAGTGAAATGTGAATAAATTCTTTGTAGTTTTATTCATGAAGCGAATCGAAGTCCATTTAGAATAAAATTGATAAGTCCTTTGTTTTCAATGGGCTTTTGTTAAGTTGACAGGTGATTTTGCGAAGTGCCTCGCTACATGGACCTCCATTGTATTGTGTGCCGCCGCGATACGATTGGAGGCGCTCAGATCCTTCTCATAAATGTTATGGGCTCCCCACGCAGCTAAACTGAAACAATGTAAACAATGGCAAACATCGATGACAGCCTTCTTAATATGTTGTAACTTTAATATACGGATATTATGTTTTAATTGGGTCGATTTTCTTTTTTATTAATTAGATGATAATTCATTAGACTTACAAAAAAATAATTAATATATTTTAGGGTTATATGTGCCCTTGTATTATTTGGCTAACATAATATTTTTTTAACAAGCTACAAGTGTTTATTACAAATGGGTGTCATGTTGTCATGACCTCCTACGCGCGTGTGGAATCGCTAAGTCACTTTATTGCTTAGCGCTGTCGACTCTAATTCAATATTGAACAAACGTTAATACGGTTAACTTGCGTTTGCTTTCTGAAATACCGTTCTATAATAAACCGCGGTGTTATCTTCGTCCTCAGTTAACTTAGAAGTAATTTCAAAATTAAATATATTTCACAATAAAATTTGATTACACCTTTGCGCATATTTCCTTTATGATTTTCCTTTTAATGATTAGTGCTTTTTCTTCATTATAGTCTGACTATCTCCTGTGTTAAAACAAATTGCTCGTTTATTTTATGGACATAGTTGATTTTACAGAGGTAAATTTAGTCTAGAGCATTTCCTATTCACAATAATTTTATTTGTGTATTTTAGTTTAGCATCTGCCTCAATGTTTTATATTTTAACTCGGCGACTCAGAACATGTTTAAGTTCTACGACGAACATACACGGTTAAATTGTTAACTTACTGTCATAAACAAACATTTTTTTTGTATCAAATTGATAAAAAGGTACTCAATAACCTCTCGTGTTTATTGTAATTTTTATTTATTCATCCTATGTTATTTTGATGGTTCCAAATAATTGCATGTTTTCTCACAAGTCTCCTTGACAAAGTCAAAGACATTTCCGGCTTTGTACAATAGAGCGTTGATGTCGCGGGCTGTCGCCCTCTCCTGAACGTTATCTATGCGCCGACTGACCGACACAGCGCAGACCCCGCTAAGGAATTAACATTCGCGACCACGACACATACTCATACCTGTCACTGCAAAATCATGATTTATTCCCCGACCAAGATAAGCCTAATTCCTTCGCAATCGTTAGACATGTCAACGCGACTTGTAATCCTAAAAGCTATTCTAAAAGTACACATCAAATTTAATTGCTATTAAAAAGCCTCCATTACCCGAGCCTTAATAAAGTGAACAATCATTTCTTATGCTCATTTCTGTTATATTATGCTTAAGTACCAACTTGCGTGCGATGCAATTAACTCCATGCAACGATTTCCGTACCCGAAGTGATTCATTCGGACATTTACGAAGCAAATGTCTATAAACCTTTCGAAAATCGGCTCGCAAATATAATGGATGGCCTATATTATAACGGTGGATGTATTAGCCGCATCGATAGACTCATATTTAATATGTCAAAGTATATTTACTTCAGAATTGGATATAAAATCATAATCCCACAAACAAACACTACATTCGGCTATTATCCTTATAAATTGATTCGTCGATTTAACGCATTTTATTCAAACGTTTGTAAATATGATGACAACTAGATAAAAAGTCTTCTCATAAATCATCACCTTAATATAAACTTCTAAATCATATTTTGTCAAGTTTAAACCTTATACTATTGAACTTAAAAATTTGTTTACTAAAACTTTTATTTGTATTTCTTACGCCATAAAGAAAAATAAATCTAATTTAACTTTTTTTCTTAATCTTCACAAGTGCATGAGCACATACACACTATGCAACTATATCATAAATCTCGATACAACTTGATATATCTGTATGTATTGGAAAATGGCAGTATCTCATTGCAATTTATTGTTTCCGGATGCATAATATTTAAATTTAAAATGTGTAAAGAAATTAGTGATACACTTTGAGAATGATAGATACAAAAAAGTTGTCAATATAAACATCTAATTATAAGAACGGAAACATTATATAGCGGAACGCCTCAACCTAAACGTAATATCAATAATATATGTAATTCATTTGATCTGTACACTCGTAAACGACAGCATAACATCTGAAACTAGACATGACGTTTTAACTATTACGTAATTAACATGTCGTGTCGCGTTAAAGTGTGGATACTTTAGTTAGTTCCCGATATGACAAATCAAATGTCAGGTGGATAAATGTTTTTTTTTTCAAAAAGAACATAAATTTTACCAATCTTCAATCGGGTGATACACTGATAAGCCATATATGTACTGAAATATCGCAGCGACTGAACACTAGACGTCTTTTATAGCTTAATAGAAATTTATTGCGTGTGTATGTGTGTTGAGATGGTTCCCAATGAGTATAACTTTTAACCACTAGGTAACTGCTCACACAGAAACATATAACAGTTTAGATTTCTTATACCAAATCCAAACTAAGGGAAGTACATATACTTTTTTTTTGGTGAAAGATATTTCAATCAAAATAAGGAACTTATAAATTTAGTAGAGCAAATTCAAACGAAGTGTGTGTCTGAAGTGAGCTGCCTCATCATTACACCGCCGCCGCCGCTCATGCTTTTTGTAGCGGAAAGGCTATCGACCGCCGCGAATAGATTCTTGAAATTGCTTTATTGGGTAACCTGTTCCCGAACATAGTAGGCGTGTAATGCGGTTATGAATCAAGACGTGACTGGAATTAAATGTATTATGCTTTCCGTATTTATGAACAGATCTAAACGCAATAAAACTGATTTGATTATACACGAAATACATTATCATACACCATAAATAACAACTATTGCATCCAAGAAGTTTTACGCCACCGGTCGCTTACAAACAATTTAATTATTGACCGTCTCTGCTGCATATCAGACTTATAAATTAAAACCCGATAGTAGTATTCATTTAATGTTAAACGCCTATAATGATTTAATATATGTAATTATATGATAAACATTTAAATGGTTAAAAATAACACATTTCTCACCGGCTACGGACATTCGACTCGAAAAGCGCTCTTTAACATGACAACAATTGCAAGTGGCCACTCGTTTCACATTTACGACGCTTCCTAGAGCCCATATAGGTAGATATTCTCTCGAGGCTCGTTATTCGCAACCGGGAGCGGTCACCGGTATGTGTAAACGAACCGAAACGTACCGACGCTAATTCTTGTTTATGAGGGGCCACGTCTAATACTTTGTTAATCCTTATAGAGCCTCTGACAATCATAGCGGTGCATAAACATCATCTATATACGAAATTAAATAGACGAAATTAAATCGAATAATAATTTACATATACGATTGGTACAGGTGAAGAGATTTCGAACGCGTTAACCGCGTTCAGATTGCCTGACGCTCGTACCGCATTTTCGACAGCGCTCGGCCGGATTCTTTTTGTTACTTAGTTTTTTTTTTGTCGGCCTTATTAAACGCTCGTATATTAATAAAAGCCACGATGGGTATCTCTTAAGTGCCAGTGACACAGATTTAAGCGCCAACATAATATTTGTAATGTACGTCCGCATAACGCGTGATACCGTTCATAGTCACCTCGTAAGTTCCGAGAAATGTAACGGTCCGTGCGTCCAACTCGAAATGCACCAGTTTAGTAATAAAATATAGCATGTAGTCGGAGTGGTTTTATGACCCTATGAACTAAGATTTTGTCGCAACCTCTAGCCGGTGGTGTATTCGCGGCGCGTATGCATCATTTATTGCGTGGACTTGCGCCGTCACGAATAAAAAAACGAATTATTGTTACGATAACGTTATACTGAAACGACTCTATGGTATGTGCGGCAAACCAGATTCTTTAAATTTATCTTTCCATCCTCCGGATCTTGTCTATATAAGATATGTAATTGAGTGGAGGTCCTAAGTTCAAACAGTTCGCGGAATTTAGCATCTTTAATTTCTAATCGCGGCCTCGGCTAACCTACAATACACAAACGCTGTGGCAAATTCAATTGTACGCCAATTACCGCTCCTGTTCGGAACGGAAGAACTACGGGTTATGTAGAAAGTGCTTCGCTAATAAAATCCCTCTCATCCAAAACAAACCGTAAAAGGTAAAACTAGCCACTTAAACGTCTTCCTTTATAAATCTATTTTTATTAAAAAGCATTTATTACCAAAACGATTTATTCTAAATGATCCGTGAACACTTCTAAAGCAATCAAAAAAACTATTTTCGTTGTATTGATAGAGAAAATGATGTTTTATTATAGCGAGACCGTTTTTATCGTAGTTAAATTAATGTTAAATTGTTCAAATGTAAGTGGTTTTTTTTATTTGTAACAAACAAAGTTTATTCCGCAATAATATATTACTTCATTAACGTGTAATTCTAACTATTGAGCACAACATCGTTAGGAATGAAAACAATAAGACATTAGTCTATTAGCGCTGTTTTTAATTAATTAAAAAAGAACTTTGATTTCTCTTGAATTTGCAAACACTAGGTCTTAAAGTGGATTAGGTTTGTAGATCGAGTTGTTCCCGACCAGATTTATGACGACCTGAGGCTGTCAATTTAATGTTTTCACTGCGCTTGAAATGCGCCGGCGCACACTTCACATTTACTATTTGTCACAAATTTTAATGGAAGTGCGCTTTTGAGCTTTAAAATATCTTCCATTCAATTCAAACAAACATAAGAAATGTCCTTTTGTTTTATTAACTGTATACTACTTTCGTTGAATCTGTTTAATATTGTTTTTGTATGATTCTAAAGATTTTATCTTGATGGATGCTACTATATCTACATCTACTAGATTTTTTTTAATTGTATTACCGATATAAATACGATAATACGAGACAAATCCCCAATTAAAAAAAATGATATCCCAATATAAGTTTTAATGCATGTCTGGGTTTACATCACAGTATACTACTTATCGTCATAAATATATAAAACGGTCAAGAAATAATTTATATTCACTAGAACATCCTGGTAAACTTGGAAACAGCACACAACTGGCTGGATACGCCTATTGGCGTAGGTCGTAGGCGCAAACTAGACTGCAACGAATTTACTTACCTCTAACACGACACGGAAATGTCAAAACATGTGTATTAACTCCACAAACCTATCCGCGCTGCACAAATCCTAAGCTCAATTTATAGTTGTTACAATTTGTTATATAGAACGCTTGAAAATTTACTGAGAATTCCTTTTGTTCGATTTGATATAATCGGAGCTTTGATAATGTAAAAGTTTTCTTATTTATATAAACGATAATTGAGGTTCGAAACCCTGACTCTTCTTTAATTAAATTTTATATACAAATCAGTAGAATGTGCGTTTTTTTGTTTTTTAAAAAGTAACGTTCACAGCAAAACGCCTCACTAAACAGAAACAAACGCAAAATGTAGGTGCAATTTCAGAGTAGTAGACAGATTAAGGAAATATAAATCCTACAGTCTAAGATTATTACGCTTACATGTGACTAAAAGACAAAACAAAACATTGTGAAGTCGACTACAGGACAAACCTTTTAAAGCTTTAATGTTCATCGTTTTGATCTCTTATTACAAAAAAGAACACTATATAAGTTTAAAGGTTTAAAGCCCTCAAATGAAGGCGAGTGTTGTTAATGCGTGTAGTAATTTAATAAAATTTAAATTGCGATTAAGTCGATCCATGGAGAATTATGTAAAGTTCAGGATACTGGCTGGATAAAATAGTTTTGTTATAATAGTAATCTTGGTCTATATGCACCCTACTGCAGGGCATGGCTCATATAATGAAAGGCTACAGAATACCATCATAGACAACGCTGTTTTAATGCACTTTCTCTGTTTTATGCATTTTATTATAGATTTGAATATTAAGACAGCTTGCGCATTTAACTTTCTCCCATCTTAAATTATTTAGCACACCGAATCTTTATATTCACAAGCATAAAAAATTAATATGTCTTTTTAAATTATATTCATAGCATATTTCTAGAAATTCGGTATATGATTGAAATAAATTGTAATATTTTAACAGTGGTAAAGCCACTAATAACAATATTTGTTGCGCGCACGAATGCGCGGTCTAGCCCGGTGCAATACTACGACCACACAGAAAACGACTGAAGAGTGTGCGTGCTCAAGGTCTAATTTTAGTCCACATTCTCCTCCTACCCTAAGGAATAAATAGAAAGGCAATATCCTCTTTCTGTGCATCCTCTCAGCCGTCGATTACAGCTAGGCAACACATTTACAATTGCAGATTGCCTATGCCATCTTTCGCTATTCCAGCGAATTCAATGGCCCGTTTGCGTGTTTACTCCCTTATAATAAAAAAAATACATTAAAATATGTATTTATATAATTTATGTCATCAATATCACATGTAACAATATTTGCATCGGTAAGAAATACCTTAATTCACCGTATCGACAAGGGCGAGATATTCGGGGACGTAAAAGGTGCGAGTTTGACACCTGAAAGGCGGACGCGAGAGCTAATAAACTAAGCGAAGCATTTATGGGTGAAAGCGGACCCCAGCAATTGTCCATACAACGGCTAGAACAAGAAGATATGAACAAGATATAAATATGAATAAAGATACCAAGATGTTGAAAGTTGCCGTAAAGATTGGGGACACACATTAAAAACTAAATTAATTTATATCGTCGTACATCTATTGCCACATTAAGTTGTATACTTAAATAGCCTAGAGAGATATAATATAGCTACACTACGAGAGGAATGAGAATTCCCTTAGTAACGACTAAACGAGGATTTAGTATAGCAGTCCTTTGTTTCATATTAAACCCAAAAATTACTTTCGAGTATTCAAAAATACTACCATTCGAAAGCTAAATAATCAAAGCGAGGTATCGGATATATTTATTACTATAAATGTTTGTTTAATCTGCGTAGTCGAAATCGCGGGCAAAAGTTAGTACCTATATAAGAATTTAGTCATACTTTTAGAAACTTTATGTATATTTTGTATGTATGTTTGTATTGTTGCAACAGGTCGGCAGTGACGGCAGTGTCGTGGCACCCTCAGTCGGGGCTGCTGGCATCCGTGGACCGGGGCAAGCGGGCGCTCGTATGGGGTGACTTGTGACAGGCATGGGACTGCGATACGCAGACGACGATTATACCACAGGTACACTGACTATTAATCTGGCACATCTAAAGTATGAGCAATCTTCTAAACAACTTCAAACGCTTCAGGATAGTTGTTGCTATTGACTTCGTTTCCGAGGATTCATCCATGTTCTGTTAACGTAATATTCAATGTTTTTCTTATACCTAATCTTAGTAGAGCGACGCAGCACTACGATGGGTTGGCAAATTAGTCGACAAACACATATAGGATATTGGACATTTTCGTGGTGGACATATGGGGTCGTTTTTACTTAATTTATCTTTTTATAATCAATATTATCAGCTCACTATACATCCCTACTGAGGGGCTCGGAGCCTACCCTACGTTAGGGGTGATTAGGCCACAGGCCACTTTTTTTAATAGTCCTATTAAATTAATAGTTTAAAAATGAGACCACCAATACTATGATTGAATGTTATTAATTACTGTAAAAGGTAAAATAAGGCATTTCTATACAAGCAAATGAATTCTAATTTGTTTGTTCCATTCAGATTGACAGTTATATTAATAAAGTGACGTAGTCCTAATAGCTCAAACCAGCTAATGAATTTAAAATCTGACTCAGACCAGTAAAATTTCAGCCCACTAAATAGAAAGCTTGTTGTTGACCAAAACAGTTAGTTTTCGGTCAATACTATTATAGATATGAAAGTAGAAATAAAACATTAAATAGACGAAAAGAGAATTAATTGTTTGTATCTTATAAACTACAGATCATTAGCATATAACATTAGAAATCGATTCCAAATTACCAATTATCGTTTGAAGTATTAGTATTTTGTTAAGATTTATTTTACAGTAATTGATTAAATGAGTTTTTAATTAACGTAAAGATAAATCTTTAGAGCTTCTTCTGTGTTAATTATTTTTAAGGATTTTAATTGACATTTATAATAAAACAAAATTACATTTTCTTATTATTTTATTGCCTTTAATTTCTAAATGCAATGTATATTATAATTCCGGCCTAATCTTTAATATTAATTGCATGTCGAGATATTAAGTCAGTCGCATGAGCGTTTTGTGATAAACGTCCTTGCGTGAATGCAGCGATTAAGGAATCAGTCTGAAATATATATTCAATTATGTTTGTACCAATGGGAATGAAGCTAAGTTCATTGCACCTAAAGTCATCTCGAAGTTTAATCAATTTTAGGAACTAAATAAACATAACGAATATGTTTTGTAATCAAAAAATATAATAATTTGATGTTTTATATTTGTTGATTTGAACGAATGTATTATTGATCTCTTCGCCGCGTAATTAATCCCTTTGAATATTTAGTTTGATTCTTTTTTAAGATTGACTTTTAAATTACATACAGTGTTTAAGATTGTGTATTTAAAACATTGGCATACCCAACCTAATTCAAACCAATAGAACAAATTTGAAAGTATTTTTGTTTAGTTAGTTTCCCGTGTAATAAACATTAAAAATAAATATAAAACTTGCTGTCGCACTTGACTCCGTCCGCGCGGAATAAAAAAAAACTTAATTTTGTACTTAGCCTATGTATTCTTCCAGACTATGTTCTACATTTATGCCAAATTACAGCAAGATTTATTCAGCCGTTCTGGAGATACCTTAATATAAACCATTCAAACGTCCAAACATTCGCATTTATTAAATTAGTAAGGTACTATAAGGGTTATAGTTGACTCTAGACACGTTCAGTTGTCAGTCTAGTGCGAAATCTCCACCTACAATAGTTTGTTAGTCTGCGTGTTTTTACGTTCATAAACATAAATCATGATATGCGTTAGTGTAATGTCCAACTGGATACAAAGTACGTACGTTTTGCTTTTATTGTTGTCTAAATAAATGTAAGTCATTCTCACTGTCTGTTATTAGTCGGTGTAGAAAGTTGTGAAAACAAGTAGCTTATGTTATGGGATAGTGTTAAGAAACAAACTTTGGCCGTTTCGTTTTTTTTATAGTAATAATTTTCAACCTCAGAAATTCAGAGAAAAACAGATAGATATTATATTCTCATAAATTTTACAATTGGATACAAGACGTGAGAAGTTTGATATGTTTTATCGCATTTTTTATTTAAACACCCACAAAAAACCCCTAACGAATCAATTCAGTTTAAATCAGTAAATCAAAGCGCGGCCTCGGTAGTTATATGCCATATTTGTACTCAGCTTATAAATCTCTGTAATTGCATTACTGCATGCTTAATCAGATGATTACAGTTGTTCAGTCGGATGTTATTTACTTTATACAATTAATTGCATGTCAACGGTCAACGGTGCGAAATCGCAAGGGTTCAATCTTATACTTTTTACAATCGATGTCGTCTTGTCCAAAAATCGCGGAAAAAAATATGAAAACGGCTAATACTCATGCATTTATCGTTAAATTTTTAATAATTTCTCACGAAATTGTGAAAAATTTATAAGACGTTCGTTTCAGTTTTACAAAACAGAATCTTAGGTAGACTTGCAAATAAAATTATTAATACCAATGTTTAGAATATTTATACGGCTATATGATTGATTACATAACAATGTCTTGTTTTAAATTTACTTGTATCTATACCTGCCAGTACAATGCCAGTCCCTTTGCTACATTTTGTATTTATAATATTAATACATTTAGTTTGTGTGTTGGCATCCTTGAATACAAGTCGCAACATTTATCTTACCGAATTAGGAATGTCTATGAGCTTACAGTTACTTGCTTGCATTCCCAGGCCCTGTGGGCAATACATCAAAGGCCTAAAAGTCACTTATCGCAATTGTTGACAATGTTTATAAGGACGGTCAAGTTACAGGCCGTATCTGGTTGTTGAAACAAGTCGTCGACCTAACGCTTTACTCAAAATGATATTAATATTTTTTGTTGATTGTTACGATGGATATTATTAAATGAAATAATACAATCTTAATGTATTAACCGTATAAACGAGAACAATCTGAGCTTCAACCAAGATATTGATTGGTAAGTATAGTATGTATAGTAGAAGAAACATTAAAAGCTCATTGACCCTAATATTGCAATCTAGAAAGGCTGAAACATTATCTTTAAACTTATTTCTTGACTACAAAGGTCTCCACTGAAATTAGAACTCACCTCTAAAATATACAGAAAGGTAATTGTGTATTGAATCAAAGAAACTCTTATTGTACGAACTCTATTGAATATCTTAATGCAAAAAGCAATCTTATAGCGCAGTCAAAATGTAATTTATCAAAATTAGATCCATTAATATTGTACAAAACAATAATGAGCTCACGAATAAAACACATCGTAATCTAATATTTTGGTTGTTAATAAAAGCGCATCTCCGCTGGCAATAATAAGTTAACGGGACATGTATAGATTTGCTAATAAACATGCAACGTATTGACTGACAGCGACTGCCGCATTGTAATTTCACCGTAATAACAGATGCTGACCCATCGGACGAACATCTCACGATAATTCATCCATTAGTTTCATAAAAAGAAATGGTTCGGCAACGAACAATACCGCACCGCCGATAAGTGAAAGCGCTTTCGACTTTCGTTAAGTTTTTGTGCGAGTTTATGTGTGGATTTTCGGTCACATTGTCTGGCGACATGAATCCGCTAAAACGGCTAATGGGCCACGCTTAAGAAGCTTGTACATTAACTTGTATTTTTATAAATTTATTTTTAGTGTCATCGTAGTGAATATTGGCACCGAATGTTTTATTACAAGAAAAGTGGAAAAGTTACGTAATAAATATGTGTACTCATTTTTAAACAAATGAAATTCATAAAATAATCATTAAAATTCCTGGCCTGTACAGTAACTGTCTTAACAAAAACAATGGAAAATTCAACTTTCGTATATCCGTGTACCGCAATATCATAAATTCTGGAACTAAATTAAAATAAACTGAAAGCTAATAGTCAGATTTAAATTGGAATCTTTATGACATAGCGGAAAACTTACGCGCGCTTATCTGTGACTAAGTTTTAAATGAAGATAAACTGTACACAAAATTCAAATTAAATTGCCATTAATAATTTATAATTTAAACACAATAAAGATACACATATTAAGAAGCGGGTACTTGTTTTAATTATGTTGTCAACGATTCAAACGCTTTATAAACTTCACATAACACATAAAAATGAGAATAAATATTACATCAGATAAATAAGAATTATTTGTAAAATCTGTTTATCAGCTGAGGTAGCGCGCGATCAAAGCCTGCCGCCTGATTCCATCACAACATCGAAAAACATGAACGAATTTTGGAGGCTCGCAGTTCGCTTTTCGCATGATTGGATTACTCGCGACACGCGGCGAACCGTTCACAAACCGTTTGTCGCCAAAATGAAGCGGAAAATTTAATAGTCCACTTTTCAGTACGTGATCAGCATTTTACTTTTATTATCTCTACAATGATGCCCCGCTTTCGTTTCCCACCGCACCGGGGGCAGGTTAAGTGTTTGTAGTGGAACGTTTTGCTTTCGTTTTATTCGTCCTCTCGCGGCCGCATATCGGAGAAAAAATATCACAATGTAATTCAATTTGTAACGTCTTTGTATGCTTAATTAAAAATTTATATAAAGACACACAATGTTACACGTAGTCGAACATTCTAAAGTACTGTTCGGCTGTCGACTTGTGTGGCTACAAACATATCGGCGGCGTACGTATACATACGTGCGGGAGAGGGCAATTTTAACAGCCACTTGAACATAGTTAATTCATTCGTCGCTCTTTCACTTTAAAACGGAAACATTTCGGTGTACAAAATCAGGGACGGTAACGGTGTACCGACCAAGTTGGAAAATTATCGATGTTTAATTGACGTGTGCGTCGTGCGGCATTTGTTTCATGGCGTACGCAACGACAATGCGACTGTGAAGTCAAAATTGTGATCGTTGAAGTGTTTCGGAGCCGGTGCGGCGGACTGGGGTACCGTTGGCGGCTAAGCGGGCGAGCGGCCATGCGGCCGAGCAGGCGAAGATTTGGCGTAATGACCTACGGCTACGTCGTCTCACCGCTCGATGTCTCAGATCTTAATCGCGTTTACGCTCGCCGCTCGCGGAGACACGCCGCCGCATTCTACGACCGCAAGACGCTCGTCAATCGCCTCATCAACCTGATTAACTAATCATATCTCGCTTGCTTTATGTAACTGGACTCGTAATCTTCCCTATTTGCCGTTTGAATGTTCACTTTTTTGTGCGTTCCTACTCGTGCTTATCTGTCGGACATAGACCATAATAACTGGACCGTTGCATCTTACACGACCTGTGCCTCACTACATAGAGATACATGATATTTAGTATACTAGTTACACACAATATAAAGACTGTATATTAATTCTGTCGTTAAAATTATGCAAATCAAATATTGTATCACAGATTTTATTTTGCACATTTTTATTTTTATTTGTTTAACAACATAAAACGTAACTACTATTAAGATTAAGGTATTCGAGAAATACTTAAAAAACTAACGGTATATAAAAAAGTTAATTAATTACGTTATTTTTAACGCTAATTGAACACACGTAGAATTTAAGCCTGCAGTGGCGTCGAATATCGGCACTTGACACGGCATTAATATAACCGTAGACAATCACATACACATGGTGCAATTTAAAATTACCGTTCTAGGAAGAATTATGTTTTTTTTTCGGTGGCAGTAAGGCCAGTAGTCCTCACGCAACATCACTATCGGCGGCCGGAGGCGGGCTAATAGCAGTTATTAGTAAATCAGTCTGAGAAATCGACAACAATGAGCACGAAATACACTCATTGCTTTGCCTCATTCATTTAGGTTTTTGTTACAAGACTCACAATGTGTGTCATCTTTTCACTTAATGATTGGACAAAAATAACAAGCATTCGATAATAAATGTTTTTAATTTAATTGCCTTTTCCCCAGTAAAAAAAACAACATCAGAAGAATCGAAGTACAGTTTAAATTACAAATTTGAGAACTTTTAATCGATTCCTAAAATTAAATAGTATGAAGTACAGTAAATTGTATATCATCCAACCATACAAGATATAGCATATATATGTTTTTATTTCACAGCCAATAACAACATCCTAGCTCACGCCTGTAACCCAAGGTAGGCAGCACTGCGAATACCAACCACTGATATTTCTACAGCGCTCCTTTTTTACTATACCTTAGAAGAAGTGGGGGAGAGGCTTATGTGAGACTGTGTAATTTATAGTCTTGTATGGTCTCTTCCAGTCCAGTGCCCTGAGTGGGTCGCCTAAACGCGCCCTACCTTAAAGTTGGTACTGATAGACAGACATCACGGATTTCCATTTGGCGCGCTCCTGTTACAACGGCTCTCCATTTAAAACCACTAACGTTGTAACTACTTGTTATCTCTGACCGTTAAGAAAGCTATTAAGAGCACAAAAAATGCACTTAATTCAAAAGTTGAAAAAAAAGCAAAAACGTCTTTTTTACCTAAAAAGGCATTAAAAACGGTAAGTAACAAACCAGTGGCTGATTTCTGGCAATGATGCATGTTATCGCACTCATCAAGGAAGACACTGTCTACGTAGATGGAAGTAGTCTTGGTCATCCTCCCCGTTACCTGAAGCTACGTGCACTTTGAGTATTTATCATCATGACTTAACACAAATTAAACAACTCTCCAAGTTAAATGTCTAGCGAAATGTCTTTTACTCACGTAAAGTAGTTTAGTCAATATTAATGTAATGCTATAAACTTTACGACTAAAACACATTAAATACCAAATAAAACGAGACGTGAACAACGATATCTATAATCTGATTAAGAAATATTTAAATGACATGTATATTTGCAGTTTTAATCTATATATTAAATTTTCAAGAAGTAGGATAAAATTACACACAAATAATTAAAAACAAATGTAGTCTAAAACAGTTGTGCAGTAAATAGTAGGAGTAGGCGGTTACTTAATTAATGTAATGAACATCGCAGCCAATAAACATGCACTTAGTGGCCCATTAAACTGCATGTCCACCCCAGAAGCATTAACGTCTCTTCAGCTGTTTACTAGTGAGATCTTATCGCTGTATCTCACAATCCTTATACACATACACCGGACAAAAACCTTCACAAGCCTTAACGTTTAAGTTCTTAAAATGTCTTAAAGTAGAAATAAAAATAATAAAATGGAATCCCTATTATATTTTATTGATTAAACAATTGAGCATCTATTCTAACCTAATTATTAAGATAGCTTAATTATCAGATTACTTTAAAACGAATGTTTCTTGTAAACACTCTAATTAAGATTTAGTTTTATGTTAGGTTCGACAATACTCTAATAGTGGGATTCTAACTCATGGCTACATAATAGAACATCTTTAATCTTTGTGCTATTGGCGCTTCAACTCAATGCTGTATAAAATCAACTAAAATTACGTGTTAATTAAAAAAAAATCTTAATTGAAATAAAAAGGAATGGAAGTCGAATCAAGAAGTCGAATTATAACTGTTCACAATCCATTAGGTATCGCGTTACAAACAGTTACAGTGATTCGGATTATTGTTCAAACAACAATTCAATTAAATTCAGGACACCGCGTCCGTTTGAAACACCGCCTGCGCCGCGCCGTGTGCAAATATACAGCAACTATTAAATAACGGTCGGCCCACAATGAACGTATCAATTTCAGTTTATTTTGCCGTAACTAAACACCTTTTAGACGTTATCTCGACTTAGTTTAATAAATTAAGCCTAACTCACGTACAGGATGTGACGTATATTTTTTGTCGCAAGCCGACAGGGACGCGTATTTATTGAATGCTTGTATGATTGCGACTTGACAAGTTCCTTGCTTGTTTACTGCTTACGGTTCTTCTGAAATTACAGCTATACAATAAATATATAAACTATCTATATTTCATAACTCAGTTTTTACAATATAGATTCTGTCATTTTTTTATTTATGATTTTGAAACGCACATTTAAATTGATTTGTTAATCTTATAATCATTATAATTATTCACAATACTCAGGTTCCGATACGCCCAACAATTTTATTTTGAGCATCGTCTACGCAATGTTTAGATTTCTGAAAAATAATCGTGACATCTAGTACCTAGGTCTGCGTATTATACTTTTAATACGTCTTTCACTCACATAAAACATTTTATTAAAATTTAAGAATGCTCGTTATTCTTTTTCCTCAGGCCAAGAGTGAGGAGGTGGGGTCGGAGACGTTCGCGGAGGGTGCAGAAGTTCTGGACTTCTTGCGCGGCGTCACCACCGACCTGCTGCAGCGCTTCGCGTAGCGCCTTCTGTCCGCAACAACACGACGACTCGTATCAAATACTATTATACTCCAAAATCATGCACCATACAAATATAAGCCTTACTTTTTATCAGCGTGTAAAATTCGCAGTTCATTGTTTAGTAAATTAGTGAATATTTTTTAAAAAATGTAAAATGTAAGAAGAGGTGCTTTATCACCTGTGATCGGGTTACACGCGGTTACAAAAAAACGCCTTATTTTTTATAAAACCCGTTTTAAATAAGAGTTTCTATGTGCTATAAATTTTTTTCCAATATTTATGCGTAAGCAACGTATTGCCTTTTTATCTAACTTTTCGTATTTCTGGATGTTTCGTGTTAAATTTTCAGTGTGTATATTGCCTAAACACAATATGTACTTGGATGTGAAATTAATGTACATAATTATATAAATGTGATATTTTTTTGCCAAACGATTATATTCTTGTGTGTTCAAAATACATGGCGAAGATGCACATAATATATAGCTATATGATGTTGATACAAGTAACGTTTAGACAAAAAAATAACGGTACATTTTCTATTCGTCCACAACAATAGAAGTTAGGAATAACTAAATGGCCAATTTAGAGTAGCGTTACATGTAACGCATCGTCGCCGCGGTATTTTAAAATCTTACGCACAATGAGCGATAAATTAATAGCCGGCTATTATTGTCAACGTGACTTCATATTTGTTTAGCGGGAACGTACGGCCCACCTGCGCTAGCCGTACGCCGGCTCATTAGCAAACAAAGATCGAGCTTCGACTTCCGAAATAGGGATGAAACGATACCACGCAATCTATCGATACTTTACTTACTAATTATATCGTAATAATGTATCAATCATGTTAGAAAAGCAAAAATTTGAGTAAAATTATGTATCTACTTAGTGTTAGGAAGAAAAATCCGACACTGCTGGTGTATCGGCGCAACACTAGACTTTTTAAAATATCAACGCTTACATATGTCCTCACTAATCGATCTGACACTTGACTTGGTAATAAAAGTGCGCCATTCCTCCAAACGATTCCAACTAATATTGTCTAAAATTAGTAGATATATTTGAATGTCTACTATTTCGTATAGAATACTACTAGACGCATACGTATATGGTATCGCTTTATCTCTAGACGATCATCTACCGCGATCAATAAACGGCGAACATAGTAAAGAATTCGCACTCACAACCGCGTGCCACACATCCATAATCCCGTGACGTTTATTTTGACAGACGCGTTCGGGCACTTTTTTCGCGCCAGTTTTTGCCGCCATTTTTTTTTCACCTCCGCCCGACAGTCCGTTGAACCTGCGACGTTTATAAAGAGCTATTTTCACATGCAATTACACGTATAGCCGACTTAATTACCCGAAACCGCTGCGACGCCGTCGCCGACGGGACATGGAGGCCGATCGAAAAAACGACCTAATCCGGCGCCGGTTAAATTACGCTTCGTTAACCTTAGCCGCGGCTAATAATAGCGTAACTACTGCTTTGCATGGTAATGCAGCGCGGCGCCTCGTCTCTCTACGTTTGAAAGTTTCTTGCCAACAGAACATGTCATTTCTTTATAAATTTATTAATTTTTGCCTGTGCGTTTTGACAGGCAATAAATTTCTGTAGGCGTTCTAGCCATATTTCTAACCTAGTCAATTAAGCTCGATTGATAAATGTGTTTACAATTCTATATTATGTGATAATTTTATTTCATTTTTTTAAACGGGACAACTCGTACTTTTAGAAAATCAAAACTTATAATAAATGTTACGCTATATTTTTTATTGTGTTTCAAGTGTTGGATGTTTAGTTATTATTTTAAAATCTTTAATAATTTACAATTAAAGAATATGAACATGGGCTACAAATACTCGACACAATCACAAATCAATGTAGAAAACCACAATAATCATATGCATATTGATTCTACTTTACTTGTTCAAACTATTGCTTATTGTTATACCAAAAACCCTTACGTTGATCTGGAGACTACGGATTATAGTAGTGTTAACAAAATTGTAGCTTTAGTTATTTACAATATTTCTATCATTCATCACAAAATGTTCTGTGCCTTTTTTTACCTATGAAGTACTTATTAAATTGCCAATGTGTAAAAAAGTAAACGAGTACCATTTGCTATAATATGGTAGTCTGCAAATATTTTTATACTAAATTTCAGGTAAGTTATAATCTAGTTATAAGCATATTAAATAGACTGTTATTGTACGTAAATAAACAGCTCTATAATTAATTTTCTAAAGGTACGATTACACTACGACACTAATCTCGGTACACTCTGAGTGTGAACACGAATGTCTCTGATTACAAAATTTATTGCGCCTCATAACTAGTGTCGCGTTAGTTGCTGTGTAAAAATCCGTACAAGTATGACCAATACAGACATTGATATCGGATATTCAAGTCGGACATTTATGTCGTAGTCTAATCGTACCTTAACTTTCAATATTAGCGTAACTAAAGTTGTTTTCATAAATATTACATATTTTCTTCCTTATATTAACATCCACTGAACTGATATATTTATAAAAATATTGTTGTGATAAATAATAAATAAATGAATGGTAAATACTCTAATAGGGTATTTTGTGATCGCACACAGATGTTATGAAAAGAAACATAAGGAGTTTAATCATAATTGTAGAAGAATACTGTAGTCATAATCCTCCATATAATTGATTAAGTGATACTTTCCATACATTTCCATCATATTACTATCCTAGAAAGCACACACGTTTATTTTTTTAAATACACTAATGTACCACAATCCTTCTCGATCTTTAGTATGGGTGTGTGCAGTTTGAAATCTAATATTTATTTAACGGGACAAGAACCGTTTTGATGGTTTAAAAAATAAAAGGCGTTATTTCACCTATGGTATTAATGTCCCCGCAGATTACTATGACAATACTTTCGGTCTAAAAACTTGGGAATTTCCCAGATATTAAAAATCCAAAGTGTAAGTGACATAATAAAAATTGTTGGTATTGCTTAAACTTGCAACACCAACCAACCAGCAACCACCAAATTCTGTTTATAATTTATGTAAAATCAAACTGTTTTTTAACTCTGGTTTTCTACGAAAATTCAGGTTTTAGACCTGGCACTAACAACAAGAACGCTGCTATTTTGCAATTTAAAAAATGTAATATTTGTTCAATTATAATCTTTTGTTGACTTATTAATGTTCTTAATATTTAATTTCACCACACTCTAATTATTAATTTAGCATAAATTTAAAACCACAACTTTGTGTTAAAAAGGCATTTATTTTACATTGACATCTTATTTTAACAGATACACTAAATTTATAAATACATTTTTTTCCTTTTTTATCGCTAATGTCAGTTAGCAGTCATGTAACCTCCTTTAACAATATTGTTTATAAAAAATGATAAATAAATGTGATGTAAAAACGGGATTTTAAACCCGTAATCGTCTCGGGAATTACTAATTCTTGGTCATCCTTCGAATTGTTTTTGCTGGTTTTATAAGATGCCCATGCGGGAATAGGCCTAATATATTGGGCCGTATAAAAGACGTATGAATTGAGTCGTTTATTAAAAAAAAGTTAGGCAAAAAGGTTTTTTAATATTGTAATAAATTTTGACAGATATCGTTTCTAATTTTACGAGGACTTCGATGGGCTTTAAGCTCCGGATATTTTTATTAATTTTATGTGAAATTTTTGCAGCATGTGTTTTTATCTTCGTCGATGTTTACTAAATGGATTGTATATTCAATATGCGATATAAATAAGTACATATATTATTTTTTCACTTCGTTTTATTTATCCAAATAAAGAGAATATAATAATGTAACCTTATTTCAATATTATACAATAAAAAAATAATTTTATTTATTCCAGGAATCAGAATATTTAACTAAGAGTTTCGGAACAAAAATTGCTTTCTTCATCGTCTCTGAGCTTTCTGCTAGACGTACTCGAATGAAATAAATATTACATTACTTGAAGGAACTGACTGGTAAGTATAAGTAGATTTTATATCTAGTGTCTGATAATAAGTAGTGATTGTATTGTTTTAATAATCAACACGGAGCTATTGTGGCCGGCTGATGTATTTTCATCAAACACCTCGACGTCCAAACATTAAACGTCACCTATATTTGCAAAGTCACGGTTCGCCAAACCGAACATCTGCGTAGTGTGTTATGTTCATTACTTTATTTCTCGTAGATAAAATCTCATCGGACAACAGCGCTCATCATTACAGGTGGTATGTTTTTAAGTAATGGACGGGCGCGATATGATATCTGTGCCGGCCCGATGCCCACCTCATGTCTATCAATAGACGCACAGAAACCGATACACGAAACGACTAACAGTATTCGCACACCGTTCATGTTGCTTTTTTTAATTTTTATATCGACAAAAACTATACTCGTTGTTATTATTGAAGCGAATTGGACATGTAGTAATTATGTGCGATATTTAGGTAGTAATTATTCGGAGGTCGAGGAGTCAGTAATTGACAGGTGAGAGATCGCGGTGACCCGGCGCGGCCACTTGCCGGCACTTGTGATGAGAACACTCCGCCGCGACACGGTTACAATGAGTGGCAGCGTAGCGCGCGAGTCATACTGCTCGATATGGTTGCCAAATTGACTGTCAATAATTTCAGGATGCACAGACTATTTTTTTTCTCTTTGATCCATTCTTGCAGCCAGTAATCTTCGATCCAATAGATTCAAAAAGATTTTAATTGGTCATAACTCTGTCAGTCCGTCAATAATGAATCGTCAAGCTAATGATAATTATCGCACATCGCCTTCAAATAAAGTCTTTCAAACGCCAACGATATGATCTTATCGAATTGTAAAGTCATAGAGATATTTTTAATGTAGTATTTATCAGGTGTTTTAATTTCATTCAACATTTGTGTATTGAATTCCCTGAATAATTTTAAAGTACAATCTATTTCACATTTTTAAAAGATTGTCCCGCGAAAATATTGATACTAAGTTACTTTGGCAGACCACAAGCCACAAGAAGCAGCATCTCGACACGCAGATGTAAAACGCATACAACCCAACGGAAACAATAACATCGCTACGTGCGAAATCGATTGCGAATGCAAATCCGTTACTCGATATGAACCAGTGAGCCAGATATCGATTTTAGAAAGTCGATTCTGAACCGCGGTGATGAAACGTGATCGGTTGTCTTTCAAAGCATCACCGATGATGGACGGAGGGTGAAGATAACAGGCCGATTGTACTGAGCTTTTAGCGTTTTCCGTCTACTTCGTGCGCGCGCTTTGCATTTCGATTCGTAACCCAGATCTCAGACGTCATGTAAAAAATCAAAATCGACCTCATTCTGCAGTTCGAAGCTGGTAAATTATATTGAATACTATTCATTAGTAAAAATGCACATAAAATTTTAAGTTCATAATAAAAATATGCAACGTTTTCAATAGTTCTGCGATAACTCCCATTTTATCGCCTCTCTCATATATTTTACTTATTTTTACATATAAAAAAATAACGCTTTGCAGTATGAGATCTTCGTCTAGAAATAAACGCAGATTTTAAATTATCATTCTTTATTCATATTTGTACTTTGAAATACTTTCGCAACTGCAATTTAAGTTTTGAAAAACATTTAAATTGAAATATGAGCTATCGTACAGATGTAAGCAGTTATAATTTTATAAAAATTATTTTAATTCAACAAGATTCTCGTACATTCGTAAATATTGAGAATAAATGTCAAGTCTTACAAGCAAACAATATATTAATTTACGTATACGTCGTAAAACACTGTTATAAAAAAGAAATTACATTAACAAAGCTTCCGCACTCGCGTTGCCTACTAACACACTAAAAGGAGCAACGTCAAAAGCAATATCTTAAATCAATACTGGCGATATTAATTAAAGACTTCAAATTACTTGCAGATTTATATCTTTTTTTTTTGGAGCAAACCTTTTAATTTTAACGAGCAATTAAGGTTTTTAAACAAGTTCAAGTGTACGAAATAATCAGGAAAATTTGATAATCAAAGTTACTTTATTTTGTTTAATGAATTTTATTCACGTACATTTATATTCATTCACAAGTTAAAAAAGTTCAAAGCCCTTCAGCCTAAATCTGAGAAATAACATGTTTTAATTTAAAAAAACTATATAAACCTAATGACCATTTTTAGACTGGGACAGTCTTTGAAAAGTGGATATGCTACTAACGCCAGTTCTCTCCACACTTGACAGTTGGTAGTCATCAGCAATCAAGTATGGGCTATTCCTAAAGAAATTGATGAGTTCCGTATTGTTTTAGAGAATGCGAGAAGAGACCCCTCGGGCGATAATTTGTTATCGGTTTTTTATCCAAGTTAATTAGATTCCTTTAATGTCTATAACTCGAGGCGGCTCGACTAATTAGAAATTATAAATATAGGTAACACATTCGACCCGAACTAACGGTACGCATAAAGCATTTACCAATAAATCTTATGTGAATTTAACTTAGCCAGAAAAGAGCAAAGAATTTATCTCAGGCGTTAAAGTTTTATTCTTACCTTTTCAGTATTTTATGTATCCTCATGAGAAGTCATGTGCGGCCAACCACACCGTATAAGTATTGACACTAATTCTCGTGTAAAGCGACTCGAAGTTCTATCTTAAATAATAAATAGTGGGTAACAATCGATCGGGAAACGATAAAGAGACAACTTGCAACCTCTCACGTTTCCCCGACTGGCTTCTGCTACGTAAATTGCGTCCGCAATACGAACGAATCGCGAACACGGTTTCCATATTTAATGTTTAACAGTGCAAAATCATGTTGTTTATTCGTATTATTTAAATAAACGCAGCTTAACACGAAGTTGTTGATTCTCGGTGATAATCATAGCTCCTCACCGCTCGCCTGAAGACTTTGAAGCTATTACGTAAACAAGAGCGAAAATCGTGATCTGTACCGCAACAGCCGGAGGGTTGCAGATGTAAGAATATCTCTAATAACTGCACCTCCTTGTAAATTGTTATCTTCGAGCATCACGAGGCGATTCCGATGATATGTATGTTCTCATCAAAATCCACATGCAAGTGAGATATGTTGACGAATGTTGAAGTTATCGAGCGTAAACTGCTCAAGCTTGGTGTAAGCGACTAGTCGTGACTTAGTCATTTAATCACAAGCATGCGAGCTAATTAGAGCAGGTCGCGAACCGACGACCGGTAATGAAAATCACAAATGAACCTCGTTACACTGCAAAATTGCACGACGCATACCCTTTATGCTATAATTATGGGTTAGCATAATTATGTTGTTAGTTATACAGGAAACTGTTATAAACAACTAAACACGTCTTACTTTGTTTATTTCATAAGTTTTTCTATAGCAAATTAATGGTTCGTCTAGTGACTTTATCGCAGGGTCGATCATACCGTTAATCAGATTTTTTTAAATAGATGCTTCACTGAATTTCATTCACTAGACATCCACGGTAAAATGCACAATGACTAACTGCGTCCTGGGCAATGTCACAGCAAACAGGGAGTACATTAAAGGATAGCCGACAACGGTACATACAACTAACAGCTCAATTGTGGGCGCGCATCAATCAGTTTGATGGCAAAGTAATAACTCGCCGTTGGTAACGCAGCCGCCGCCTTTGTACTTTAAACCTGTTACATGTATAAGGAAAATGTACAATTTTTACCAAAAAATTTAACTGTAAAAACATTTTTAAGATATATTTATATTTTCTTCATTGTAACTTAATCGACTTCATTATAAAGATAAAAGCAAAGAATACTTGGTAATCCTAAAATGTTTTTTTATGAAGCAACATATCACTAACTTATGAGGTCGACTTGAAATATTGTAAACATAAGGAAATGTTTGTATTCCTAATATAATTTCAATGTGATCGAGACAATATTATTAAATTGCCAGGGGTCATGTCGACGAGTCCGCGCGCTCTCGCGATAAACTCTAATGATAGTCGATATTCAATAACACAAATACTATCCAAGCTTAAAACAATGATAGTTTACACAATAAACACACGTCTACAGTTTATGTATTATAGTGTTATTGCATATTGCACATGATATTGATCAATAAAGCAGAAAATGGAACGTAATATATCTAATTTTATAACATCGTCAGCGTCAACAAAAAATATCCTAAGTTACTCCAACATACATAAGCTACCTTGCAGTAAAACTCCCATGAACATTGATCCAACCATTTTGGACATTACCCGTAACAAACCCAGACTAAAATAATAAAAAAAATCGTGTTGTTCTTACGCTTAAATGTCATATGTACGACATATCTTTTTTTGTATACAGACAAAGCCTGACTACAATTAATAAAAGCTGTAGCTTAACTACACGACAATCTTGGCCATGTATAAACTATTTCCAATTTAACGTGTACTAAATGTATCAATAGTAAATTAATGAGAGTGGCGATCGAATGGTCTCTAATAAATTATCTACAACGAGAAAGGCACGTGTTATTTATGACGCAGCTGGTAATCGATTGCATTACGGAATATTACAGTAATCTCATTTTAGTACACCTTACCGATGCAAACGATTGATCGATAGCTAACGATATATTTTAATAGAATGACGATAGCGAAGCCCTTAGCACGCGCCAACGCGCCGACTGTTCCGCGAATGCTTGAACCTAACTCGTACGTACCTTGCACAGGAAGTGGACTAGTAAAACTGGAATCATCAAGTCATGCTTTATTTGCGTAAGCGACTCTCCTTTTAAACAACTACATTACATTGACCTCTAAACCGCATATATTATCTTTACGACTGCCTAAACCATTAATAGGGCCATGTCGACACCGGCACGTGTCTGAATGGCATCACTTGAGCCTGAACGACAGGCTGTACCTCTGTTTCTATTACTCTGTGTCAGTATTTCTTATCTGTAGATGTATCTTTGCTGTGAATCACTGTGTAGACGCGTTGTATTATCACATCAGAGTGGATGCGGTCGCACGGCGCGGCAGAGGGCGCCATTAGCATACAAGTGAATTATCTCGATCTGCAGGCGCAAAGCTGATTGCAGTCGCAACGCTTCCGCGGCGTATTGAATTCGGAACCAACGGTGCAGCCCGCACCGGCCGTGTGATTCCTAACGATAGCGATCTCTCCCTGTATTCTGACGGCGTAGCAACTTGATATATCCCAGCGCATCGTTCTTTAGCGCTATCACTTAGTCTTGCTTGCTGCTATCATTTGGACTATTTATCACGGGGAAAATTGTAATTTTCTCAAATCCGTGCTCTTTGTCGATAAGATAATCTTGCTTTGCCACGGATATTATGTCTTTTGACTCTGGTATTTCAGATGAAACATTTTGTATTTATGTGTAAAGAAATACTTCAAATAATACATAGATATATATTGCACATAAATGGTTGTTTAAGTAACTTTAAGAAATCTATTATTTCATCCAATACATAGACATAGAAAGACGCCGAATATTGCGAAAAGAGTGATCAAATTATATTTACTATGTTCGGTAATGGGATACTAGAAAGTATACTATTTTATAAATTGTATTTCCTAAACTTTCTCGCAAACGCCTGCGTAAAAATTTACTTCTTACATTGAATTGCACTGACGAAGTAAGGAATAGCAAAGCAGGCGCTTTGAATTAAATTCATAAAAACAGATTCCTCGAATACATTTTTTTTAATTATTACAGGAAAATGGAAAAGGTAATCGTTTAAAAAACTTATATTTACGGAAAAAATAACACAACAGCATTATTGATTTAATTTCAATGAAATGACAATGAAAATTTAAGTTTTGTTGCCACTTCTAAACGTGAGCAATGCTTACACAGAGGACTCTAGGTACTTCAACATGCAACATGTTTTGTTCACATTACAATAAATAGAAATTTTAAATGTATACGTTTTATGGATGTGAAAATTATGGACTCTCGAAAACAAACATTTTAGCATATGATATTAGTGGTTGTAAATTTAATATTTGCTTCGTCGAAGAAATGTTCAAAGATTTCGCTACCCGACCGCATGACACGGAGGTTGTGCAGAGGGGACACATAACGGTGACATTAGCGTTTATCGTGTTCTTGTCTGGAGACACCGCGTCGTCGTGTCTACAAGTACGAGGGAAGCTTAACCAAGACGTAGGGTCAAGTCAACTCGCATGCGAAGTCTATACTATAAACAATATACATAATATTAAAATAATTTTAATTTACTTTAGCACATTTGCCTTACTTTTTTTTTAAGGTCTTTAATCCATAACTGTATTTATTTTAGAAAATTTTCTTTTCATGAAGTTACAGGTTACAGCTAATATTTTATAAATACTGCGTTATCTTATTGAATTTCACCTCATATGACGTTGAAGATCAAAGATCAAATGACTGTTTGCAAAAAATTAACTAAATTACATGAGTTGGGTGCGGTGCGGTTATTATAGCCCAAAGCGAAGAATAAGTATGAGAGGTCGTAGGGCATAGATAAAGGCCCTCGCCGTGTGTTATTTTAACCTACAACAAGCTGCCATAAATTACAGATGTGACAATGCAGAAACAATTAATAAATTTAATTACATTCCATTAAACTGTAATTACTACAACCTCTATTATTGTCTAGTAAATTAATAATGTATTGGTTGGATTTATAGTCGAAAGTTGTATTCAGATAATTCAGTTATATACTTTTATACTGTTCAATTGTTCACTGCACTGCAACAGCTATGGCCGTTTATTCTATCTATACTGCGAAAATAAGTTTTACACCACGCGCGCCCACAAGATACACGACGCTACGTTATTTACTATCTTGTCCGGCTTACGATATATTAACCTTAGAATTAAGAATGTCACACCGATAAGTAAAATTACAGGTAGATTTAGAACTTTTATTATTATGTCTATTTTATAATAATGTTGACAGTAATCGTGTGTAGACAGGACGCTCATAAGTTATTTTGAAATAGAGGATACTTGGTAATTTGTTTTGCTTTTAAAGAAATTTATCAAGATGTTATGAGATTTATTTGCATTTTGACAATGTTAAGATGGTTGTGTGGGGAACCCTATTGAATAAGATACGAAATTACTACATTAGAGGATGTCTCAATGTTACTCAACCAAGCAGTGGTTGAAAAATTAGAATGCGAAATTTTAACATGGTATGGGCATGTCATGAAGCGAGAATGACAGCATATGACAAGGGAATCTTTTATTTTCTGTGGTGTGAAGTGGTAGGCCCAGGAAGAAATGGACGGCTTGCGTGAAAGGCGTCAAGAAGAGAGTGACGACTGAGATGACGGAAGATAGATCGATCGGGACGAAGAAAACCTGGAGCGCCGACTCTACGCGAATGGTATAAGGACAGAGGGATGATGAGAATTCTTTTTTTTTTATTCATTTTAACTTTTGAGCATCCTGCAAATTATCCGCTGTGAAATTATCGAATATCAAAAACTTGGGTTTTCAAGAAACCATAAGGTAAAATATATCTATGTAGAGGAAAGTCTCATTCACATCACTGTTGTGTACCAACGACACATTTTATGCTCTTTGATTACTATACGTCACGTCACTGACAGGACATGTGTGCGATAAAAATGGTGACCGTATACCAGCTGGCATTCTTATTCTGATGTTACAAAACCTGACATTTCTTTTATAATAAAAGTAAAGTGTTATGGCGTCCGTTTTGGATTTGATCAAACATTATCAGCATGCCATTGAGAAATACCCACATGACGAACAAAAAGTAAGTAAAATTTTCAGATCTTCCTTGTTCTGAAATGGTTTTTAATTCTTCACCATAAATATTATAAACAATATCATCAATGGCTTCGCTCAAACAAAACAAAAAGCAGTTGCATCTGCTCACTATAATTTGTTAGGCTTTAAAAAATTCAATACAATTATTCCCTAAGCTTCCCTAATTAGCCACATAGCTATGTATCTGTCAAACTTTGTGTAGGTTTTTTTATATTCAAAGTAATATATAGCCATTGTTAAAATATTCTGTTTAGTGTTTTTTGTAAAGTCACTTGTTTTATCTTCCACTTAATTCTAATAATATACTTGATACACATCGCCTCCGCGCCCACAGGGGTATTTCATGCTATTTTGTATTTATATTTAAAATTAAAATATAGGCAGGTGATATGGATACACTATTGTATTTATTTAACAATAATAAACATCCTATGGTAACAATCCCCAATGATTCTTTTACATTCTGCTTGTTTTGGCCTGTTTTGTAGACTCCAACAAATTCTGGTTAATACAACAGTAAACCAACTCATTTCTTTGTCACTTTTCTTAAGTCTCTTATTTGTATAAGCTGTAATTTCTCATACTTTCTAAGCTAACTGGTTTACAAAACATACCATACATAAAGTAAACAAACTTTTGATGATTTGTTGATATGCAACTTAAGATATAAGATTTATAATAACCACTATACAACAATCGAAATAAAAACATATTTAAGGTACTTCCCAGTGTTGCAATTAACTTGTATAATAAAAAGTACAACTACATCACCAATCTTTAGTTTATAAGGCTTCTAGTTAGCATGGTCATTATGATAATTTAACCAGATAAAGTATGAAATTCTGAATTGGCATTTTTTGTAATTGCCTTAGAGTAGTCTTCCATATGTAGTAGTCAAAATGGTTAAACTGTGTGCAAAGACTGTGATGTAATTTTATTCATAAACTTCCCTGTAAGTTGTAAATTACTTGAATAACTTATTTGAGTTGCTAATTTACTTAGAAAATATGGTACTCTTTAGAAAAATTAACATACATTAGAATTACTACAATTTAGGAACACAGGCTTAATAAAGACACATTTTAAAATCAATTATTATGTGATTAAATTTTTTATATAGCCTATTACTTGTTTCAGATTTTAAAATGTATAAACAAATTATTTCAACTGGATGTAACAGTACAACATCTGCAAGAGACTGGTGTAGGCAGAACTGTGAATGCATTGCGCAAAGAGCCCGGAGATGTGGGTCAAGCTGCCCGGGCCCTTGTATACAAATGGAAGGTCATGGTGGCAGCGGAAGAAAGTGACCAGGAAGCTGACCACAGAAATGACAGTGAGCCTCCATAAATATTAAATATCATTGTCTATTAATATCAATAAAATTTGCATGTCTTGAGAGTTGATTTTTAAGCTTTAGAATTCATAATTTTTTACAATTAGAATGTGTATTTTCATTTCATTTTGCATTTTCTAGATAATCATTAAACTGCATGTCCTTTTGAATTATTTTTGTTTCAATGTTTATCTTCTGTTTGTCATTAAAAAATTATGTTAAAAAAATTTTAAGTACTTAATGTAAATATTTATGGAGTTGAAACTTCAAGTAACCAAATCAATAAACCAGATAAAACCTTATAATCTAAAATTATTTATCTTTTTTTTATATTAGCATCATCTTTAGCCAAATGTATATTTAAAAATTCACTTAAAAAATAAATATCAAATTTTACGTCCTCGTTGAATACAGTGAAAATGATTGAAAACAGGTTACGTTGAATTATCCATATATTCATGAGTCCTTTATTGAATTATACATTTTGAATATAAATAAGTGGGTTTTTCCATTGGTATGGCCTTGGCTCCCGGGATGTGTCGCACCTTATCCCGCCACTGGGTTTTTCCTACTTTTGCATGTCATTTAAATTTCATTTCGTCAAGTTTGTTTTAGAGTGGCATTTAAATTGTAGTCTTTATGAAATAACTTATAGGGTAAATGTAAGTTCTTTATTTAATCAGCATCAAACTACAATGGCCATATAAGTGAAAGAGACAGTGAAGATAGTACACCTCAGTCAAAAAGTAGACATGACCAATATGAGAAATCATCAAAGTCAAGCAAATCTACACATGACTATAAACATATGAATGGTGATAGCAGTTCACATAAGCGAAGACATCACAGTAGTGAGGTATGTTATTTTTTATAATTGATTCTACATTTATTTTATGGTAGAATATCACTTTTTATACTTAGTTTTTACAGGAAGAAGAACCTGAAACAAAGAAATCAAAGCACTCTAGTAACAATGATGATAAATACAAAAGAAAGTGTGTCAAAAGTGAATCAAGCGAAAGTGACACGCAAGATACAGACAATTCTCAAAGTGATAGTAGTGAATCTGATACATCACAAAGTTCGGAAGAAGACAGAAAACCAAAACATAAAATAAAAGAAGAAAAACAGGAACAAGTAAAATCCTCAAATTCTTCTAAACACTCATCACACAGTCACAAAGATCGAAAAAATGATTCGGCATCAGAAAAACGACACGATTCGTCAGACAAACATTCAAAACATAAATCGGAATCAACAAAATCAGAAAAATCTTCAGCTGAAAAACTGAGTAGCTCACATAAACAATCCAGTACCAAAGATAAGGAAAGCTCTTCTAATAAAAAAGAAACATCGAGTCACAAATCTGTGGAGAAAGAAAAGAAAACCGAATCTTCGAGTAAACATAGCAGTTCTAAGAAGGAAAGTTCAAACAAAAGTGACAAGCATAAAAATTCTTCTGAAAAATATTCTAATGCATCAGAGAAACATAATAGTTCGAAGGAAACATCAGAAAAAACAAAAGAAAAGTCTTTGAGTAAAGAATTACCGAGAGAGAACCACAAATCAAGAGAAAGCAGTAGTAGCAAGCACAGTTCCTCTAGCAAAGATAGATTAAGCAAAGACAGAACAAGCAAAGACAGATCAAGCAAAGACAGAACAAGTAAAGAAAGATCAAGTAAGGACAAATCAAACAAAGATGATTCTAGCAAAGATAGATCAAGAGAAAAACATTCATCATCAAAAGAGTCAGACCACAGTCAAAAATCTGATAAAAAGCATTCGTCTGATAGTTCAAAAGAAAAAAAAGAGAAACATAAAAAAGAAAGCGATAAAAGTGGAGATGATAAAAAGAAACATTCTCATTCTTCATCAAAATCGAGTAAGTCTAGCTCAAGTAAGTCAACAGAAGATATACCAAAGAAAAAAGCTCATATAAGTCATAGCGAGGAAAGCGGCGACGACGGAATCGATTGTGGGTCAGGTACGTACTTCTATTGCATAACATTTAACGTTTCTGTGACGTGTGTATATTTTATATGTATGCTCGCTCTCCGAAATTGAATTACAAATAAGCGCTGAAGCAAGAAATATTGTTACCTCTGTTTTTACAAATGGAATAATAGGGATGGTATTGTTTTGTGAGTGACACTAGAACCCACAGTAATGTTCTTTTTTTAATAAAATAATTTATTACATTTCAGGTGCCAGCTTTGCCGAAGCACTAGGGATGATAAGTCCAACTAAAAATAAAAAGAAAAATAGTACTGTTAAAGAATTTCAATCGCCAAATGCGTTTCCAGATGTAAGTAAATTATTTTTTTAATGAATTGTCAAATACCTTTGCATAGCAGAATACTTTTTTCTACTATATTTTTGAAATAAAACTGTGGGTCCTTAAAGGCCTAAAAAAATAAACTCAACATTTTACTTTGTTCCAACACTGTATATCTAAATTTTGTTTAACTTTACATATAGATATGTAATGACACTTATTGCCCGAGACTTTGTCTGCACTGAATTAAAATAAAAAATATCTTGCAATAAATATATCCTATGTTACTTTCGAATGGAAAAAGAACATTTGAGTTTATTTGCAACACAACATACAAAAATACAAATATTGCCTCTATATTAGTAAAGAAAACAATATTACAATCAAATTATATTATCACCGTGAATTCCCCTCAAACACATTTGAAACCACAATATAAAATATTATCATATTACAGGTGATAAGAATTACAATAATACTGTTGGCACAACACTAGGCATCAGACGTTACATATTTATGATATATTCCTTTGTTGTACAAAATTCATAATACCTAACCTTGCTCTCATTTTTAAATAATTTTACATGTCTTTACATTATGCTATTTATTGAGGTCGTGGAAGTACCCATTTTTAGTAAAGAAGTATAGCAATTTTGTCTACTTTAAAAATGCGAACACATTCACGCCCTTTACCTAAAGATATAGCGGCAGAATCTCAAAGTAAAGGAAAAAAGAACAAACGAATTCAACAATTGTTTTTATTACTTTTAAATTAACAAGGGATTCATTTGGTTCTTAATGTTTGTTTCAACGTTATTCTATAGAGAAGTAATACATGGTCAATGTTTCTATTTGTTTATTTCTGATGTACTGAAAAAGCACTGAAATAAAAGTCTATGTTTTAGTTGAGTCCGGCTTCGTTACTAGCCCCCACTGCTAAACTGGCGCCCCTACCTGCCATAGAAATCTCCGCTCTGCCAGAAATCTCGCCAAATTACAAACCCAGGCCTCCACCAAAACTACTACCACATTTCACCGACGAGGATGCTATGAGTCATGTTATATCTTCCAAAAATCAAAGGTAAAAAAAGCGCCTATTTAATTATAATATTTATTTTGTATAGTTTTGCAATAATAAAAAATATTAAATTTTTAGAACAAAGGTCTATTCGGGGAACAAAGTAATAGGAAAAATACCAACTTTGTATGAGATGTGTGTACATGTACTTCAAGAACATATAGATGGTAAGTTTAACAACAAAAAGAATTCTATTATAATCAATTGAGCACCAAATTAATATCATTTAAAATTGTAAAAACTACAATTACTTAAAACATGCTGGATACCTACAATTTATAGTTCTAAATCTGTCACTTAAATTTTTTTTATTATAATTTTTATAATCGATTTAAAACAGCGGACTTATTAACATTGTTTTGATTGATTATTTCTAAAGGTACATTGATAAAACACTATAAACAGGTTATGAACACCTTGGTGTTCCCGTTGCTCGTTTGCTCCCTAATCTTGTAAAAACATATAAAGTTTAATAACTAAAACATCCACGACAGAGTCTCTAGAGATATAATAATATTATTAATAATTTTATTTCTAGCACTCGAGTACACCGGTGGGGTGCCATATGAAATACTAAAGCCAGTCGTTGACATGGCATCACCGCAACAACTATTCATGCTGGAACACTTCAACCCATACCTGATGGAGGATACGGATCATTTGTGGCAAAAGTTCTGTGAGAAACACTTCCGCAACAAACAGAGACAAGAAATGGAAACATGGAGGGAAATGTATATGGTAAGTTTGATCTTTTCCATTTTTACTTATAGGTGAAAACTTAAATTTTTGTTAAAATTATTTTTTTTTGTTTATGCTTAAAGGACTTTAGCAGTCTTTGCAATTTTAGCAAAAATATTTGTAATAATTTCCACTAAGACTTAGCTTATTGTGCTAGGATATTGTTTAGGACAATAGTCAAACAGAATTCATAATTACAGCACTCTGTTTGAGTTCCATACTCTTAACCACTAGGCTGTTTCTAAATATATGTAACTTATCGATTAGATACATATTTATGTGTTTTAAGTAATATTATTTAATTCGCAGAGATGTCAAGAAGAACAGGAACATAGATTGAAATCACTAACAGCGAATATAAGACAAACTCAAGAAGCCAAGAAGGCGCCCATCAAGCAGACAAAAATGGCGTACGTCGATACTGTGGTAAAGCCGCCACGAAACGTTTTGAGAAAACAAGTAAGTATTTAAATAAAACTTAGCTCATTCTAATATGAACTAATTCCAATTAAATTTGACAGACATTTCTGAGGTAAAACGATATTTTTTTGGCTTTGGTCGTCCATTGGTGTGGGTAAATGTTTCTCACTTATCCAGTATAATCTATTTCACTACTAAATTAAAAAATAAAACAGACATTTTAATTATGATTAATCCTGATTTCTTCTTGTTTCTTTTTTATAGGCTCAACACGGCACGGCTCATGCTTCAACAGCTAGTCCAGCCGCTCGAGTGGCATCTCTAGCGTCTGCCCCCAATGTGCTGCGCGGGGGGTCGGTGCGACCTCCACCAGCCACTCCCGTCTCCTCCTCCAACTTCAACAAACCCAAGAAAGCACCCCTCATGCAGAAGGCACTACAATTTATGCGTGGACGTAAACGATGATAATTGTTATACAGTTTACTTACGTCTTGTAAATATTAGTGATGGTCTTAATGTAAAATGTGTTAACTATCTTTGACTTAAGCAAATGTCAAATATATGTTTGTGTGTAAATCATAACAGTAATAGGGAAAAGACTATATTAAAAGACACCTGTTATAGATTTAGGTATATGGGAAATCGAAACAATTGCTAAATGCAATTGAATAGAAATGAACTTCTAAATCAATGTGATTTAATAATTGTACCATATCTATATAATATTAATATTTTAATATCAAAATTAAGTCATTGTTATACAAAATCCATGTGAATTGTATCACCTTTATTGTGTTTCAGAAAAACAAAACATTAATTCAATAGAAAAACATACGAGCAAATTTATAAATTATTATGTTTTTTTGTCAAATATGTCATTAAAATCAGTCTCTAATTGTACATACTAAGAAAAATAAGTTATTACTTAAAGTAATTCTTCGACGACTTTTGTAGATATGAGAACCTAGACATTAGCTAGCAAAAATAATGGATCAAAATGCACTTTACTTATTTGTTATCCTCAAAAAACAATCACGTGGAAATTAGTCCTTGAAAAATTTGACAGGAATTTATGCATTCTGTGTATTCTTTACAGAACCATATTTTGCGATCGCTATAATTCTATGAAAGTCTGACATATTTTACAATGAAATAAAAAAAGTATTTATGTATGAAATTCCCAAAAAAATAAGATGCGGCTGACAGTGACTTATGGATTGAAGCTAATAAATGTAAATAATGTCTGATTTTTTTATGTTTATTAGGTTAGTGACCACTGTTGTTGTACATATTATATATGTAGTAGATAACTAAATTTTCGTTCCTGTACTCAACCAAAAAAGGATGTACAGCACTAAAATTGTACTTTGTAGGACAAGTATGAATTCTTTTAAATGTAGTTTTAAATACTTCGATCTTTTACAACTTTTTTGTTTTATTGAATAAAAAAGTGATTGCCTGGGTTAAAATTACTAGTTTATTAATATTCAATGAAATATTTTAATACAATCAATGATAAAAAAAAATTATATTAGAACACTCAGAAACATATTTTTATACAAATAAAATCAAATGTAGTAAAGTACAAGGTCGTAGTGAATAAATTTCATTTATCAAAGTCAAAATATGATTTTACTGACTAGAAATGAGTTTTGTATCTTTCTGTGTGTCATTAGGTATGGCTATAAGTTATAAATAAAATTATGAAATAGATCTTTTCTTCTTTCTCAGATTCCATAAACATGTTCACAAAATCGGAACTATTTGTTAATATTTCTGAAGATAAAAAGAAATAAGAAGCAACTTCTTACATTTACATTTTGTAAATACTACAATGTATGTGCCTATTAATTTTATGTAATTCTTTATCGGCATTGATTTTTACACTTACTTTAAGATTAAGATAATTAAAAATTAAGTATGGGTTGATGAATGATTGAATTATGTTATTTTTTAATGTGGTGATATAAATATTTCAAGAATAAAACAAACGTTTTTCATTAAGTAGTATTTACCACATTGTAATTTATATTTACTTCAATCCTTGTTGTCAGTTAAATATGCAGTGCTTCACTGCAGTGCAATTTTCAAAAATATTTTACCAGTCAGTCATTTGTACTTGGATATGAGTTTGAATTTTAGCAATTTTTTTAAAGTAATGTATGTGTAACCAATTTATGACCATTAGCCAAAAGATGCCAATATCCACAAGTAATATCAAAACGAATTTTTCTATCCAATTTTACCCAGATATATTATTTTGTTTATATTATTTATATATAAATTGTTCAGATCAAAAAAAATCGATATTTGATACTAACAATTTCAGTACCTTTTAAATATTATTTGTTCAGTTACACTTAAATATTTGAATTTCGAACTGAGAACATACCATAGACAAATAAACGCCGAGTTGAGTAGTCAAATGTCAAGCCGTAAAAACAAAAGTAACAAAGTTATTTTTTTTAGAATAACAATTTATTTTAACGAAGCTTAATTAAAAAAAAAGAAAAGATTATATAGCATATTAGGAATGATAAAAAAACGAATCATATAACAATTCAAAATGTCGCATGTTTATTCGTTATGCTATTTTTCATTATCTGTTCTGCGTCAACACGCTCGCTCGTGAATGAGGCAACGAGGCTAACAAAAACGCCGCAATGTAACCATAAATGTATAGTCGGGGGCTCGTGGCGCTTATAGTTTGTCGGGCCGGGTCGTCTCTGCAGATTAGCAAATTTTAATTCGTGTATTTTAACTTTATTGTAGGGCGACCCGATTCCAAACCCGACTAGAGTACTTAAGTATTATCGACAATGTTGCATTTAAAGAACATTGCAAAAACTGTGGTTCCGCCCCTTAAAAATTCTGTTCAAAATGAAGGAGTCAATACGATGTTCAGAATTGCGCCCGCAGCTGTTAACGTTTGCTGCAGAACCTACGCAAGCCACGAAATTCCAGACAGGCTTAAGGATGTACCGACGAGTGCAAACCCAAGGTTCTTTGATATGGTTGAATACTTCTTTCATAGAGCATGTCAAGTAATAGAAGACAAATTAGTGGAAGATGTAAAATCCAGAGTCTCAACAGAAGAAAAGAAGAAAAAAGTCGCCGGTATCTTGAAACTTATGCAGCCATGTGATCATATCTTGGAAATTCAATTTCCACTTAAACGTGACTCCGGTGATTACGAAATGATTCTAGGGTACCGGGCACAACATTCCTCGCACAGGACCCCTACAAAAGGAGGTAAGTCATTATTGATTGAATTTTATAACATCTCATCGGCTATTGTAAGTCATAATTGCAGGATTTTTTATTTATAGCTCAAGAGACACGTGATGTTAACGACCGTAGGTAGCGTTACGTAGATTCCTAACCAAATCTACGCGCACACAACTTTGTATAAAAATTTTTGCAAGTGAAATGGACAATTCATTATCTGATTTATTGTCAAATTTATTTATTTGTTATAGAAGAATGTAAATTTCGGAAGTACAATTAGAAATTTACACAAATAAAATTAAACTACATAATTAGTACCATGAAAATGACATTGAATACCTACTAATTTTGAATAATTCCGCATTCAGTCAGCAATCAAAAATTAATTGTTTTCTTTTGCTTGCTCTTATAAAACAAACACCAGGAAGATTTATTTATAAGAATTGGAATGAGATATTACACTGCAAAGTAGATACCTTTACCTAACTTACTAACTTTCATAAATGAACATTTACTATACGTTTTGTTGTTAAATCGTGTAAGTGTATTCTTTTTCACGTAAGAACCTATCTGAAGAAGCTGTAAAATAGTCGAATGCCGAGTATTTTCAGCATAAATTTATGTTTATATAACTTTATTATGCCGAAATGGCTTCTTAACCTTATGGCAGGAATACGAAAAATGTCTCGAACGTACCACAGCCCCCACCTGCGTTAGTATTAGAGTTCACGACCTACTTCACGACCTCTAAGTGTGAAGGACCAGACACCACCGAGGTCCAATAGCATGAAGAACAAGATTCGATTATTCTTTACCTTTAAGACCATTTAGTGCCGCGGTGCTACTATTCCCGTGATTTGTAAAGATACAACCCCAGATAGGAACCAAAATGACGGCTATAAAATAAAATTAGGAACAGTCGATTCTGTAGGTTTTCCAGGCGATAGTTCCTCTTAATGTATTCGAACAAATATTTCAATTGTATAGATGCAAAACTATAAAAATATCTTGATTTAAAGAAAGCAAAATTGTATTTTCAGATCTAAACCTAAGAATTCAAGACAATACCTAACTAATATTTCGCTTACGACAAAACAACTTCATATGCATTGTTCTGCAGCTGTTTGGGCATAAACAGCCTGATGATAATGACATTGAATTTATTTCATTGTCAACCTAATTCATTTATATAATACGATTCTCCGCTTTATAAAAAACAAATAAATGCAAACTAATAAAATCATCAAGTTTTTATTACCCTAGTTAGTATACATTTTATAAAAATCGTAAATGAATGATATATTTTAGGAATCTCCACACAATAGACGTAAAAATATATCATCACCCCCATTTTATAGAATAAAAAAATTCTTGGACAGCATGTCTTTCCATGTAGGAGTTCGCAATTGTATTTTTTAATTCAATTTTGTTCTAGAGTCTTCAAGTTCTCGATATTTCTGACAGCATTTGTAGTCACTAAATTGTTTAAGGGTGTATATGTATATATCCTTAAAAAATGTACATATATCCAGCTATATATCTGTTCGTGTTTTGACTAACTAATTACTTTCGACACTGATAGGAAAAACCCAGTGAAATAGGAATTTCTTTTAGTTCATACACCTATAAAATTAGGTAGTACCACTCGGTAACAACAATCTTTAAAGCTAAGCTCAAAATATACTTAAGTACCTTTATTATTTTCGTTTGATAACAACTGAAACTGTTGATAAAAATATTACATTCACAACACGCCTATAGCAACAGGGGGCGTGGTTGCTACGTCATCTATATTGCGCAATTTTTAGAACGATACTATCCCACATACGATTATATAAGTAAGGACGGTCAACAAAAATGTCGGGTAAATTTAATAATCACGTACAAATTATATTTGAAAACTTAAGAAGTCACGTTTTCGCACACCCACCTCACGCTGACGTCACATTTGCTTACTTGACTACAGACGATATCACCTGATTGATAAACATATTAGATTAGATCTACAAACGTGCCTTATCCGCTTTATTTTTCGTTATACTCTTTTTAAATATTCATACTAAATAACTATGTATTCAAATAGACAAAGGTAGAATAAGAACAAGAGAAATAATATCCATAATGCCGTGAAGCTTTAAATTGATTTAACGTCACGTGACTAAGACGACTAGAACACATGACTATGGCGTAATCTGCGTCTTCGTAATTATACAGTGCAAACAATTATAACAACAATCACTTATAGTACCTTGCACATTGTATCAGCTGTCAATGACCTTACTTGCGACAATTGCATCGCTTATGAGGTGGTTTTCTAGATATAGACCACCAAAACCTTGAAAGTTCATTATATAATGCTCGGAGTTGCGCTTTACTGCATAGTTACATTGTAATACTTCTTTAGACTAATAATAGAAAGTCCTAGAAAATAATTGTATACGCATTGAATATTAGAGCAGTACATCAACATTATAAACACTATGTAAATTAAATGTAAACACACGATACGCAAATATTGTTTAACCGAGTCGCATATCTAATATAATAAACAAATGTTTGTTTGTCTCGCTAAACAGGTATACGATTCTCAACTGACGTGACCAGAGATGAAGTCAAGGCTCTGTCCGCTCTGATGACGTTCAAGTGCGCGTGCGTCGACGTGCCCTTCGGCGGCGCCAAGGCCGGCATCAAGATCAACCCCAAGGAATACTCCGAACATGAATTGGAAAAGATCACTCGTCGATTCGCCCTCGAGCTCGCCAAAAAAGGATTCATCGGTAAGAATACGATGTCATTTAAACCATATTTATCGAAAGTAGAAGAAAAAGTAAAAGTACTATAACTTTGTGTTAGTAATTTGAAACATAATCTTCATTTAAGGACGTCATTGTCTTTGTTGAAGTAACCTATACTTGGAAGAACTGCGACTGTTATGTCTATTAAACAGTTCACTGTCTTTTGTGAAGCTGACCTAATTAGATTACTTTAGAATTAAATTGTTAGTAAATAAAAAAGATATAACCGATTGGTTAGATAAACATTCTAATTGTATGTTCGAGATGTAAACAAAATAAATGCTACGTAATTGAACAACATCATAGAAACAATAAATATTGATTACTTTATTTTATTGATGTAGAATTACGTATTACGACCTAATTATGTCAATGTTTGTGTTTACGTTTAGACACAAAGCATTGTTTATATAGTATTATTATGTTTATTATAAAGAATAACTGCTCTGTGTATTAAAATAGTTTCATTGAAGAATGCTTATGTCATAATTTTATTTGAGAAGTATTTTGCATGTATCATGATTTTATCTACTATTGAAAATGATTTTTCAATCATGATTGATGACCAACATTTCCCCAGAAATTTATTGAAGTACTTATATAACTTACCGTATATAACGTTAAATGTAACAGAATATAATCCTCGCAATAATTAAGTTCATTCTAGTTTATTTGCTTGAAAACGCGTCATATCCTGTTTTACAATTATTGTTTTAATTACTACAATTTAGATCTAACGAGATGACAGTGTTAGTACATCAGGACGAATATAAAATATGTTTTTAGCATTAAAAAGATCATTAGCAGAATAGAATTAATTTTTACTGGACGAATTACTATAATTTTCAGTCATAATTCAGTCATTTACATTTACAGCTGTCATTATAATTAAAATT